GATCACGAAAGGCTCCAAAGCCAATCTACATCCTCAGGTTTAATAAGATTGAACAGGGGCAGCTGTTGTACCCCAAAATTTTCCCTCCCATATTTCTCAAAGCATTGCAAGAAAAATCTCCAAGTGGCTCAAGGTAGCTCAAGAGTTGGTCAGACAAGCTCTCTCTTAAGGCAGTCTACCCCAAATTAGGGTTTTGTGTTGCATCAAGATCCTTCAGTCCAAATGACAACAAGTGTTCCCCAATTCCCTAATATGTTCTCAAGATCATTCATGACAAGTTTCAAGCCTTGCATAGGAATTTTGCTCATTCAATTGCTCAAAGGTCCAAAAATCGACTGTGCTAGGGCAAAAGTCAATTGTGATCCAAATACAGTCAAACCTCAAGATTTTTTGTCAACATTCTCATTTTGAAGGATATTTCATCATTTTATTAAGGGTTGATCATGATTCATCAAGGATTGCTCAAAATTCATCAAGATTCAAAAGTTTCTAAATTAGGGTTTTGCAGGAAAAGTCAACCCAACTTTGACAAGCATAACTTTCTCATACTTTATGATAAATGACCCATTCAAATCTCGTTTTGAAGAGTATGTAATTCCCTACAATCCATATTCACACCCCAAGTTAAAAATATGCACTCACAAGAAGTTATGAATTTGGACATTATAGGTCATTTTTTAAAGTCAACAAAAACACCTTTTTTGTCAAAGCTTATAACATGAGCATGGAACATCAAAATGATATGAGACCAAAAGGGTTTATTATAGGACATCTCAAGCTTTCTAAAAAGTCCAAGAACACCTCCAAAAGTTCAAAATTGAAGAAGTTATGCATTGTTGAAGTTGGACTTTTTTTGCAAAATTGCCAAAAGTCAACTATCCCCAAAACATCAAATTTTGCCAAATGGGCCCATTATTTTTCACTTGATTTGAGTTTGCATCATTTACCACATTCCCTAGCTCCAGCCATGTGTCCATATCACATTTTTATTATTTAATTTGATTTTTGTTTGAATTAATTCATTTTAAATCAAATAAAATCATATAAAATCTAAAGCATTTATAACACATGATTTTTTGGCTATTTCAGGCTCCAAATACAGCTATTATGTGAATCAAATTCGTATCAAAGGAATTGTTTACAAGAATATATGATTTAGATCAAATTTGGAAATGTTTTCATGGGGAATCAAATCAAATATGCAATCATTGATAGTGCAAGATTTGAACCACAAATACTACCCTAATCCAATGTACCATACATAAGCCAGAAAAGCACACGAAAATCAGGGTTAGAGAACACTTATGGAGGCAGGACAACTTTGCAAAAAATCATAAAAAAGTTGGAGATCAAAGTCAAAGCTAGAGGCGTTTTTAAAGTTGGATATTGGTACCAATCGATTCCTGGCAACACACACAAGCTAACTGGATCCAAACCAAGCATTATCAGGCCCTTGTATGCACTGTAAGTCTCACGCAAATCCTCCCTGTGTTTGATTTCGTATCTCTGGAATTAGACATCGTTTTCATGAAATAATTGCATATCCTTAACCCTCACATCATTTGCAAACTATTGGTAATAGCCAATTTCATTTATGTGCTCTGTATGAAGAATCACCATAGCTAGGGTTCTTTGTTCGTTTTTAGGGTTTTCTGCTACAGGTGCAATTGGTCCATATGAAGGACATGGTTGAGATCAGGAGATCATGACGAATTCAACCATGTTCTTGGAAGTTGTTTACATTGCCTGAGGACGATTTTAAGATGAAGCTGCGTCCTTTGCTGCGGATAAAAATCCGCAGGTAATGTTACAGCGTTGGGAGGACAGGGATGAAGACGTGTCGTCCGTCCATTAGCCAATTCAAATAATTGCGCGCGTTTTTTGACTTTCTGGCAATTGTTTTGTTTTTTATATAATATATATTATTTGTATTATTAATAACAAAACAACAACGTGCTTCAGTGGTTGCCACCTAAGCCATAAAGGTTCCAAGTGCTGGAGGTCAGAGGTTTGATCCAAGCCTCCAGCAATTTGTGTTTTCTTCATATTTTTCAGGTAATTGCATGCATGCTCAGGCTTGATCCATACCATGCTCCTTCATCAATCCAAGCGCCAGATGGCCAATGGCCCGATCTAATGGCTAGTGATTGGAGGTCCACCAAAGAGCCAATCAACGCGTGTGTACCATATCCAAAAAGTCAAACGAGCCAGCTTCTAACGAACCTGCAAAAATGCTCCTTGCATCTCCAAAAAGGCCCATTTCTTCCCTTTTATCATATTTTCTATTTTATTTATTTAGTTATTTTATTTTATTTTAGTTAATTACTAAACAATCATTTTTTTCCTTTTATCAAAAATCATCAAAAAAAATATTTTTATCTAATAACATTTTAGAATTCATTTTTATTAATAAACACTAATTAATTAATTAGGTTTTCAATTCTAGCAAACTTTAACCTATTTTGTAAATAAATTAATTAATTAATTAGACTTAATTAGGTTTTAACTACTAATTCAATTATTTTATTTTCTTTCTTAAAATAACAAAAAAAATATGTCATAAATAATTTTTTTCATTAATTAAATTAGTTATTTAATTTAGGAGTTAATTACTTTTCTTAAAACAAAACAACAAAAAAACAATTTTCTTTCAAAAGGGTCAAAACCCTAAATTTCGCACTCGATTTGATTTCCCGCGCGCTTTATTTATTGTTATCCAATTATGTATCTGATTACGGATTGTAATAGTTAAATAGGACATTTAATTATTTTTACCGCTTTATTTTGTTTTTCAAGGGTTGTGTTTGGCGATATAAATACCCGACGCCTTGTAATTTAAATTCTGCATTTTAATTCCGCAAATTATAACTGCTAAATGTTTGTTAATAGGGTATGCATGACAAGACTGAATGCTTAATCTTAAAATCAAATTAGATCACCCTTAACATGTACAAAGATAGAAATAACTGAAAATGACACACTCTCACATGCGCACTCTTAGGGTACACCCCACTTGGTTGCCTTCGTACATGTTTATTGAGTATAGGTCGTTTTAGAAGTCGTCCTCTTGTCTAAAAGATCATAGTCGCCTTGAAATGGTTGCCTCGGATATTGTTGCCTCAAACAAATGATCTAAGACATTAGGGTTACCGCTAAGGCGTCCTAACATTGCTTTAGTGACCGTATGTCCCTCATTCGAATTGACCCTTAAACTCCAATGACGGTGCTACCTACTCACTAATAGTGGGATAGCATTGTCTAAAGGAAATTAGCATTGAACGATTCTTTTTTCGAGTAGGTAGATGGTTCTTAGATACTTGCTCTTTCAAAAACAAAACTTTTTCACACTTACACTCCTTTTCGAACAAAGTTTTCAAAACACTTCATTACACTCTTGAGGACAGAAGCAAGAGTTATATCAAAGTTTTAAAACAAAAACTTTTTCAAACCCACAAGCACAAAGAAAACAAGTTTGAAAACAATTGAGCAAGTACCTAAGAGCCCGTGGATAACCACGGATAGAAAGGGTGCTAACACCTTCCCTTTCTATAATCTACCCCCCGTACTCAGAGATAATCTCGAAAAGGGAATTTTTCTGTGCTTTTTTCCTTTCCTTGTTGGATAAAATAAAAGTTGGTGGCGACTCTTGCTTACCGCGGCATTTTGCAAACACAAAACGCAAAACACAAACCAACATTCCAAAAACAGTCAGTTTTTCCCACCGCATCATGGTTGGTATTTTTTATCAAGAAAAGAATTTTTGTATGATTAGCATTTCTTATATATTTGCCAAGAAAAAATAAGTTTTATTTTTAAATGCAATTATGCAAAAACGGGAAGAAAACATCTAAAGGAGACTAACCTATCTCTAACCTAATGTTTTCATACAATGAGGGATCCTATCTAAATTAGCATGTCAAAGAAAGTCTAACATACTATCCTATAGGGAACATGCACTGAGAGCGAAGTCGTGATCTCAATTTCTAAATTGAGTGACTCATCGATCAACAAGAAATAAAGGAAAGCGATAAAATCCTATAGGGAGCATGCACTGAGAGCGAAGTCGTGATCTCAATTTCTAAATTGAGTGACTCATTGATCAACAAGAGAGGGAACAAACACATGCACAACACATATAAGAAATGAAGTGCGGAATGCCTGCTACAGGTCTTTAAACAGCGACTTTGAGTGCACACTCTTTATTTCCTACTTCTCATGATATCTAGAAAAGAGATAAACGCGGAAATATAACTTGGAAACAGTATAATACCAAACGAACAATGACTTCCGCAAAAAGCGCAACCAAAGTAAAGAAATCTGAGATACTTCGCGCGAGCTGGCATCAACAAACAAACAGTCAAAGATTGAATATTTGGAATAGGTGTCGAAACTTCGTCGATATGAAAATAAATCACAATCGGAATCCAAAACACATCTGCATATAAAATAATGAACCTGCATAAGACTCAGCTCAACAAACAAAGGTGAATCTAAATTTTCAAGTAATCAAAAGATTATGAATTAATTTCCTAAAATCAAATAAAAAGCCTAAATTTTTTTATTGATTTTGTGGTTTATTATCTAAAAAAAAATTAAGAGGAATTCCTAAATTCTACGTATTTTTTATTGTTTTATCATATGGAAAAATAGTCAAAATCATGAAGAAATCACACAAACAATTGCAAAAATTAAAAATTAAAAAAATGAATTAACAAGAAAATAGCACATGAATGCAACAGGAGGTGCAAGGCCTAGAAACAGGTGTGTAGGAAATATTGGCATTAAGCCCAAACTGCTAGGTCCACAATCAGTTTTTGTTCCAATTATTCTTTGTTATACCAAAAAAAAAAGCTATTGGGCTTAGGGGGAGCATGTGGTTTGGCCCAGCTAAAAGATAAAAACAAGCTTAGTCCAAAAACTAATTCACTTCTTTATTCCATTTTTTCATATTTATTATTCTATTTATTAATAAACAAAACAAGAAATTAACGAAATTAAAAATGAACATGGAGAAACAATGTAGGTTTAGAAAGGATAGGGTTAAAGAGGTTCTGGTTGTACAGCTTTTTCGTGAAGATGATTCTCCTCTCTTCTTTCTCAACCACGCCGCCGTCTCCACCTCCAACTCACCTTTTCCGATTCACCACATCACCATGCACAACCGTATCATATCTCTTCACCTCAACTCTCTTCGTTCTCTCTCGTGCTTCAGACGCAATCTCATCTCAGATTTCGCCTCATTATCGCCTCACGATCATGCTCTGCTCCAATCTTTCGGTTCGTCTCAACAACAAAATGGAATTTATGCTAAAGAAGTGAGTAAAGCAAGACTTACCTACCAGAATACAAGTTCAATGCTTCTTCAAATTCGATGCGGACGAAGGAGAAATCTCTAGGTATTTTTCGTTTGCTTCTTTTACTTCACTTCCTCTTCATCTCGTTTCTTTGGATTTATGGATGATGGAGAGTGACAATGTTGCAACGTTGTTGATGTGGTTACGTTGGTGAGGCTGTTGCAGATGCATAGAGGCTTTGTTGCAAATCGCGATGTTGATGATATTTGATGAAGATCGTAGGTTGCAGACTGATGAAGAGTGTAGAGGTTGCAAGAAGATGGAGGTGAATATAGATATTGATGAAGGTTCTGTGGTTTTTAGATTTAGAGAATGGTGATGAAGATCTTGCAGAGAATAGAGTTGTTTGTTACAGAGAAAATCCAGATGAAGCCTGTGCAGAGAGATTGGAAAATCTTAAGAGAAGTTTGTTACCTCTTTCTTTGGTGAGTTTTTTTCGTCCCTGAATCCCCCTCTCTCCCTTTCTGTTATATCTCTTGGAAGTTTGTTAGAGGGTGAGTTAGAGGATAGAAAGTTGGTTAGGAATCTGTTAGAAGTTTGTTACCAAGTTTGGAGCTGTTAGAGATTTCTGTTAAAGGTTGTTGGATTCTCTTTATTCTGTTTTGAATTTGCCGTCCTCTTTTCCAACCTTCCTCCTACCCTTTTTATTATGTTGTTGACAATTAGTTGGGAATTCTGTTAGAGGTTACCACATGGTTAGAGGTGGTTAGGAAACAGTTAGAGAGTTAGTTTTTGGGAAAGGAAGTTAGGGATTTTTATCAGTTAGAGGTTTTGGAATTAGCTTAGGTGGATAAGGCTGGGACCAAAGTAAGTTGAGAGGTTTTGGATCTTGGTTATGAAAATTGAGTTAATATGTATGTTATGGTTATATCAGTTAGGGGTTGTCAAGTGTTAGTAGGATAACTTTATGCTGACTAGTTAAAAAAAATGCTGGATGGAAATTGATGAGAGTTACTTGGTGAACAGTAGGAATTTGAAGGTTAGTAATAGAATATTAATTGGACAGGGGCGAGTCGTTGTGCATTACGATTTCAAATGTTAGCTCTCAGTCTGAAATTTATGAATTTCATTGTTGAATTTGCATCTGTTTTGCAGGCTGTATGTTTTAAGCTGTTAAATTGGTGATGAAATGTTTCAGTTAAGGGATACACGACGACTCGTGGCTGTTTGAATTATTTTTGGCTACTTTGCAATGGTGCAGGTTTTTGATAGGTTTTAATTTTGTAGCTGAACTATGATATATTGCTCTGATTTATTGGACATGATGCCAAATGTAAATCGAGTCTGAGTGTGAAAATAAATTGCATTGTATTTTTCTGCTTTGACTCAAATTGGTATGCACTGATGATGATGACCCTTAACTGATTTTCTGGATGAATGTTAAATGTATAGCAGGCTGCTAAACTATTTTTCTGATTGAACTTGTGGACTGTTGAACTGAGCTATTTATTGTGTTTGTGAATACAGCAGGGCTGCCACGATTTGGATTCATGTTTGGTGCAGGCCTGGAACTGTTTTGATAGTTTGTGAAGGTGTAATATCATGGTTTTGGAGGAAATCAAGTGAAGTCTTATAAAGATAGCTTGCATAAAATGTAGATCGAAGGAAGTACATTTTTTTAGGACATTAGGATTATTCTTGAACAAAATTGATGTATTTCTTGGTATGGTGTAAAGGACTTGTGATGATGTAATGATTTTGAAAGTGTAGCGAGTATTTAGTTTTGTAATGGGGCGATTTGAAACACGACAAATAAAGAAAGGCGCCTCTCCATTGTTTCACTCCATTTTCATTTGAAAATTCCAAGTCTTTTCCTTTGGTTGTAGCTTTAATGGCCTTTATAATGCCTTGCATCATAGAAATGACATTGGACTTGAATCCCTCTTATTTTTATTTAAGCTCTTGTGGATTAACTAGCTTGTATTCCATGCTTGATGTTCGAAAACGCCACAAGAATATATCCACAAGGAATTGGATAAAAAATCAATCTTGAATTACCTCTTGAAGTACATATAGATCTTGAACAATTTTGGTAGAAGTTTAACTTTGGATAAGACCTTAAATTCCAAGAAACATGAACGCCTGAATCATTTAGACTTTGAGATTCTTGTACTTGATTGATGAGTCTTGAGTTCCAAATAACTCACATGAGTGAGCCTAAACTCTTTTGAATTAACACGCCATATAGTTGATCTTTAATCAATAAAATATTAGCTGAAAATCCAGAGCCACACTTAATCATTCGGCAAGTCTCACCATAAGAAGAGAAACATGGTTCAATCTTCTAGACTTCTTGAGAAGAAATGAATCACAGATAAATTAACAAAAAGGAGGATCTACATGATAAAGAATAGATGGCGACTCGTGTAGCCTTAAGGAGAAAACCTAGCACGATGAACTTCCGTTGAGGATCTAATACCGAGCTCTGAGTAAGATAGGAAGAACCCTAAATGATATTGCTCTGAGTGTACACTAATGAAGAAGGCTTAAGATAGTGAGATGAACAAAACTCTGACTTCAGAATATTCTCAATGAATACATGATGAAATTTTGAACACACGGTAAACTCTAAAGCACTCTTCCCGAAGAAATTATGATGAAGACAACCTTATATCTCGAGAAATCCTGCTAGTGAAGACATCTATGTTGCTTGAGATCCAAAACCCTAATCTCATACCAAGAATAATTAAAGCACCAATTGAATCAATTTTGAGCAAGACGACAGCCTCCATTCAGAGAGAGAAACCCTAATGCCAAGGCGCTTCGATCTTATAACCATGAGACCAATGCTATATGTGAAATGTACAAAGTGTGATGAGGAATCTTAGGGGGAAAATTGGGGTACAACAGCAGTCAGGGATTTATTTTCCCAGACTCGGATATGTCATACTAGTATCTCGTGTTCACGCGTCATTACATGCGCATACATATCGCATACAGCATAATTTCATTTATTTTGTGAACATCATCCCATAATGTATTTCATGTATCGCATATAATTAACCCTGTTATCTTTTCAGGAAAGGCAATCGTCATAAATAATCCCAGCAATCATACATGTACATTTGCACACAACTTATGGAAAATCAGTTCCCGAAACCAAACGGGTCAACTAATCTACACGATCAAATAAAGCAGCCTTACTATCCAGGCTTTCATCTTGAAGTAACCCTACTATCCAGGTTCCTTGCCATAAGCCCTACTATCCATGATTTCATCTTCAAGTAACCCTACTATCAAGGTTCGTTCCAATAAGCCCTACTATCCAGGATTTCATTTTGAAGTAACCCTACTATCCAGGTTCCTTCCCATAAGCCCTACTATCTAAGATTTCATCTTGAAGTAACCCTACTATCCAGGTTCCTTCCATAAGCCCTACTATCCAGGCTTTCATCTTGAAGTAACCCTAATATCCAGGTTACTTCCCATAAGTCCTACTATCCAGGCTTTCATCTTGAATTAATCCTACTATCATGGTTCCTTCCCATAAGCCCTACTATCTAGGCTTTCATCTTGAAGTAACCCTACTATCCAGGTTCCTTCCCATAAACCCTACTATCTAGGATTTCATCTTAAAGTAACCATAATATCCAGGTTCCTTCCCATAAGCCCTACTATCCAGGCTTTCATCTTAAAGTAACCCTACTATCCAGGTTCCTTCCCATAAGCCCTACTATCCAGGCTTTCATTTTGAAGTAACCCTACTATCCAGGTTCCTTCCCATAAGCCCTATTATCCAGGCTTTCATCTTGAAGTAACCCTACTATCCAGGTTCCTTCTCATAGCCCTACTATCCAGGCTTTCATTTCGAAGTAACCCTACGACCCAAGTTCCTTCTCATAGCCATACTATCCAGGCTTTCATTTTGAAGTAACCCTGCGACCCAGGTTCCTTCTCATAGCCTTACTATCCAGGCTTTCATTTCGAAGCAACCCTACTATCCATGCTTTCATCTTGAAGTAACCCTACTATCCAGGCTTTCATTCCGAAGTAACCCTACGACCCAGGTTCCTTCTCATAGCCCTACTATCCAGGCTTTCATGCCGAAGTAAACCTACGACTCAGGTTCCTTCTCATAGCCCTACTATCCAGGCTTTCTTTTCCATGTAACCCTACGACCCAAGTTCCATCTCATAGCCCTACTATCTAGGATTTTATTTCGAAGTAACCCTACGAACTAGGTTCCTTCTCATAGTGCTACTATCCAGACTTTCATTTCGAAGCAACCCTACTATCCAGGTTCCTTCTCTCTTATCTCCAGACAACAGTTTACAGCATTGTAAGACCTAGACCCGACCAGACATGGATGGTTTCAGATTTCCATAATAAATCGCTGTGCAACCTGGACCCTGACCAGACATGCAGTTTACTTCCACCTCCTCAATTAAGAGTTAAATCCCCAGTAGAGTAATGGACAATCGAAGCTCTTAGACTCTATTTCCCAGGACATAAATCAACATTCCCCGACGAAGTCCTTCTCAACGGCAGGTACATGAACTCTTGCAAAGGAATCTCTTATGCAACTGATATCTTTTCTGGATGGCATATTTAAGCCCATATCCAACGATTCTCTGTCGACTTCCAAATGCCATATGTAAGCCCATTCCCAATATCACCAATCAGTATTATTTTATGCGCGTGCAAATTTCTGGGCACTCTAGTGTTCAATCATCTTCCACCTTCAGATCACCAAAGGCAGACCAGCCAATCAACTTCCTCAGGTTTAATAAGATTAAACAGGGGCAGCTGTTGTACCCCAAAATTTCCCCTCTCATTTTATTAAAAACATTCTCCTAGAGGTCCCCAACTTGCCCAAGGATGCCTAAGGATTGACCAGACAAGTCCTCCTCCTAAGACAATGAGCCTCAAATTAGGGTTTCATTCCTTATCAAGATGTTTGAGTTCTAAGGGTCCTAAATGGTTTCCATAGCCCTATTATCTTCTCAATATCATCCATGCCAAGTTTCATGCCTTGCACAAGAAGTTTGCACAGTCAACTGATCAAATGCCTGAACATCAACTGTACTAGGTCAAAAGTCAAC